CATGGCAGAGGCAACAACTTGATGCACTCTCAGTCATGACTTTGGACAAGAAGTCTGTTTTTCTCTTCTGGGCTGATGAAACACAGCCTGTGTTACAAAGTTTGGTGAGCAAGCATCCTTTCCTCACTTTGAAGTTTCTCTGTGAAGTGCATGCAGTCTCTGTCTTTTATTCCTGTTATCACTGAATTTTAAATCTAACGTATAAGAAGGCTGTCAGGGAAATCTCTTACTTTGATGTGAGCCTAAACACAGGAGTTTTTGTGCGCAAATTCTTCATAGAGCTTTATGAACAGAAATTTTACATCCACAAAACCAAAAATTTCTGTATGAATTTCATTCTTTTATGCAACACTGAGGTGTTCTAGCTGCAGATTTGTTCCCAGTTCCAGAGCACTTCTCTGCATGCAGGCACAGAATTCAGCATGGAGACTCAAACTTCCAAACTGTAGCTCTGCCCATCAAGCTGGATATGACAGGGCCAGATTTCAGTCTTACCAAGAGTTTTTGATTCTTTGATCCATGAAAGACAGCACAGTGTCAGAAAACTTTATTTTTTTGGCAGTGCTAGAGTCCTCTTTGCTAACCAGTTGTTATGTTTTTGTCTGTCTTTCGATCTAACAGCAACCTGGTCCCAGACCTGAGCGCCCAGGGCTGCACCACCTCTATCTCCTCCATCCTGTTTTTCCTACAGTCCTTTTGGACCTCACCAATGCAACAGACAAAGTCATTGCTTCAGCAGGTGGGTACAAATGGAGGAGAAACTACCTAGGCTAAAAGAACTATGGAGAGAGAAGCAGCTGTGAGAAACAGTGGGATGTAGTTGTGCCTCTAAAGGTAGCACCCGATGTCCACAACACATAGGCCAACAATGGGAAATAAGATCCATCTTCCTCCCAAAGATTGGAGGAACTACCTTGGAAATAAAACCCTACTTTGGAAATAAAAGACCCACAAAGTTTCTTGCACGTGTTCAAGCAAGAAAAGGTCCAAGTTTGATTTCATGCATGTTTTACACCAGAGAAGTTACCTTGATTTCCATGGAGCTGTTTATGATTTAATGCAGTGCATGAAAAAACACTATGAAACTTTGTCATCTCAGGTACACTTTGTTGGCCATCTCTTTGGGATATCAACCGTGCTGCTTCTTCATCTTTCTTTTTGTAAGGGAGAATTCAGAATATTTAAACTTGTGTTTTTAGGGAAAAGTAGATATGGATTTAACATCTATACAGGACTGTACAGTCCCTGTTGGATTGCCTTGCTCTTTCTAAAGAAGTTTGACCAATAGCCAGCCACTCATGCAGGGCAGTGTGGGATAAAAGAGGAGTTCATCCAACACTGGGACCAGTAGTCCAGGAAGCATGGAAAAGCTGCCACATAGTGATAACATGTAATTGGGTTTGTATCAAAAACACAGTTCAGTCAAGAACAAATAGAATATAATTTTTAGAGGGATTTTTTAGAAACTGGGATTTCTGAGGTCTGTACAGATCATTCTACAGTGAATGGAGTGAACTGGCTTGCCCGTACTTTACAGATTTCCCCTTCTATAGAGGAAAACAATAGCTTCTAACAGGTGTGGGAAAAAAAGCTCTGAGAGTGAATTGCATTCTTGAAATATGTGCATCTCCTATGTCAAGCTCAAAACCATAACCTGGAACCAGTCCCTTCCATTTCTGATCTAAATTTCAGTTTCTTTCCATGGAAAAAAAATTAACTTAAAATTAATTTCCCTTATCAACTATGGTACGTGGAATTGTAAAGTCAGACTGAACATACCCTCAGTCCAATGGACATTTTTACTGACTAAAGGCTGTAAGATTTCTTTTGGAAGAAATGTAATAATTTACTTCTCACCACTATTTTCTCGCCCTTTTCTGACGGACCAGTTGGAATTAACGATCTCCAGAAGGATGCATTTCACATCACTGTGACAACAACTGCAACCTCTGAGAAACAACCGGGATTTCTCTCGGTCAGCAAGCTGGGCCTGAAGTGGGCCATGATGAGTCAAGGTCGAATGGTGTGGTTAAAAGACACCACCACTCCAAAAATCAGCCGTGGAGAAGTGAGGCGATTCCTTGCCCGGATGAAATTTGTTGACTTTCCTCAGAAGGTGAGATTGTGCAGGAATCCCTGCACAATGAAATCCAGGCCCTTGAAAACATCTGATCTCTTCCCTGAGAACAGACACAGTTAAGGTGCTCTTTGGGATGCAAAGAGACTGGTGGGATGCAAAGAGATGGTAATAGGTTTTGGCTTTAATGTTTGTTTGCCTTTCCTTCTCCAGCTCTAGCCTGGTGGTTCCTCCGATTTTGGTTGGACCTGTGGCCTGTATGGGGAATACAGGAAGCTGCTCTGTGGATCTTCAGGAAAATTGCTGTGTAGAGGGACTGGGGGCTGAAAGCACTTTCCCTTTCTTCAGCTATCTGGGGAATGCTGGTGGAGGCAGGTTTGTCCTAGGCAGACCTGTCATGTACCAGAGGAACCTTGTTCAGCTACTCCCCCTCCATATGCTGTTCTTGCATGCTTCCTTCCAGGTAGCACAGAAATGTGAACTTAGAATTTGTATACATATATATATAAAACCAGACTTTATATATATATGTGTTAATTTATACCATATATGTATATTTTTTGTATGTTTAATTTATGGATGAGATTTAGGACACACCTTTTTATGTCCAAACAGTATTCCCAGGCAGTCAAACAAGCTGTAGGCCTAAAGAGGGCCACGATGAGTCAAGGCAAATGATGTGGCTAAACCACACTACCTGCTTTAATATTTGTATTTTTAGAGTGAAGCCTCTGTCTGGCTCCTGCAGGGTTGGTCTTGTCTACAGCCTCTCCTGTGCTCTCAGCCCTCTTCTTCATGCTGTCCCCAAACTCACCCACAAACTAGCTCTCTAGCTGAGTTACCTGATCTAGAGAAAGATGGTCTCCACAGCATTTGCCAGCCCTTGCATTTGTGTACTTCTGTCCCAGTTCCAAGTTCAGGACAGGTGCATGTGGGTAATGTAGAAGTGCAAGATTGACATCTTATTTCTGTCCATCCCTGAGCTTTGTATGAACCCCAAGTGTCACTGTAATATCACACTGCAGTCCAGTGGGCTGAGTTTCCCTTTGCAAATATAACACAGCCCTTTTGGGATAGATTCCCAGCAGATCCCAACTGTCACTGTAAAGGTCACTCAATCTAGTCACAGAAAAGCTGATTCTTACGCCACTGCTTCAGGGTTTACAGGCTCAGACAGAGACAGAACTGGAAAGATTTTCTGTGCATTTTAACCCTATTCTGAGTTCAGTATTGCCATTCCCTTGCCAGCCCAGCCCTGTGTGCAGCTCCAGGAGGAACAGACTACTCCTGGGAGACACTTGCTCACAGTGTGTTTAGTGTTTTGATCTGTGCCCCAGAATGTGTTATTAGTCTCCTGTGTTGCAGTTACAGAGCATCTGTACAAATTTTCTTGTGATAGAAATGACTGTATAAACTGGAACCACTTTGGTGCCCCAACAGTTCCCCACAGTTCAGGGCAACAATGTAGGGACTGTTTTCCCAGTATGCCTTTCCAGGTCTGACCTTTGACATTAGGCAGAGCTAGGCTGAGATGAAGATTGCAAAGATTCTTCTGTCCTCCTGTTGGCATGTGCCCTTCTAGCCTCCCTGCACTTCCCTGTGAGTGGTGAGGTTATGGCAGACTGACCCTCCTTCCAGATGGGCACATCTACCACTGATTTGCTCTCCTGGGCTCTTGAGACCTCTCCTTGCTGTATCACCCTCTCTATCATCCCTGCATCTCCATATAAAGCTTCCAGGATAGCCCTTCAAGATTAGCTGCAAGCCCCAAGGCTGGTCCTTGGGCCCTGCTCTCTTAATGTCAGAGCCTGTGAACAGTTTGTATATGTTTCATGGTATTTTTGTGTAAATAGCTTTGTATATATTTAGCACAATTGTAGCAACTGCTCTAGGCCTGGCATTTTCCTTCAGACAGGGTTTAGTGTTTATAATACACAGTCAGTTAATACAGCTGCATAATAGGACTGAAAGTGTGAGGACCAGTAACATAAGAGGGATTAAACAGGAGTGCCTCTTCCCTCCTCTCCAGCCACCACCTTGCTGGGAAAGGTGAAGCGGCTGTTACCTAAGTAGTTATTCTTCTGAGGTTCTTCCTGAGAGAACTGTTTTTCCAGTGCAGTGGCATTAGCTCCTCCTTAATGTGAATTCACCTGCCCACATTCTCCCTCCCCCCCGTGAATAAAGAGTCTGTCTGTATATTGTTGGGAAAATGTATTTGAACTGTGAACTGCAGTGGAGCAAATAAATACTGTGTACAGCATCATGTATCATGTGAACCAATGTTTCACCTTTGAGAGATAATGAGTTTACTTTGGGGTTTCTTTTGGGGGTTGCTTGCAATATTTTTATGATAGGGAAGAAGGAATAGATGAATGGAAACAAAGAAAAAAGCAAAAGTACAGCCAAAGATTCTTAAAGGTTGTGGAGAAACAGTAAAAAGAGGCAGACAGTAAAGTACCTCAGAATGAGAGATTTCTGGGGAAAAAGCAAGAGGGGAGCATGTGGGAGTCATTACAGAGAGGAAAGTGGAGGAGAGAGATGTCTGAAAGCTACCCCCCATTCCTACTGCAGCAGGACTTTTAATCTAGGGTCAGGGAGAAGAGGAGTCTGGGCCTGGAAATTAAGAATAAATAGGGTGTTCAGAGAGGATGGCAACTGATCGGTATGAACACTGATGCCTTTCACCATAGCACTGAACTGAGGTCAGTGTGACCCACTCAAAGAGTGCAATTTGCCATCTGGATGGTGCTGACTGTCTATTCCCCAGTCCTAACTGGGGTTAGGATATTTGCCTCAACTCTGCCTGAAAGTACTTGAGACAGCTGGAACCAAAATGTCCCTCCAGTTTCACCCTTCTCAGCAGAGGACACCCGTAAAACTGTGATCAGGGAGGACCCTCAGCCTGCTACTGTTAGCACTGAAGGTTGCCCTAACCCAGTGCCCATCTTCTCAATCCCTGAACTTAGAGGAAGGAAGAGTCCCCCAAGAGCTTGCTAACAGCGACACCAGTGTTTGTTGCAGAGCTCTTGTGCCTCCCAAACCCCACTGCTCTGTCCCTGTACACTCATCATCCCTAACAACGATCCTCCCCGATTGTCTGGGCCAAGACTTCATCCAGCTCCAGCTCTGGTTCCCGCTGTAGCATTTTCTGCTGCAGATCAGTGTAGAAGTCGACTCCCTCAGAGACTGAAAGGAAGGCCTTGCCTCTGGGCTCATAGTAGCTGCTTATTTGCTGTAGGAAGCACTGGTGGTGCTGAGGCTGATCCTTGAAGCTCCCATCGTAGCCCTTGATGTGGTTTCTTTTGAACTCCAGTATCGTCTTGGTGTAGGTGTTGAGAGTGGTGACAGCAGAGGCCATGCAGCAGGTAAAGGAGGCCCAGGCCATGCTATCAGAGAGACACAAAAGAAGCACATGCTGTGAGAAGCCAGGTAGGGTAAGGAATTGAACACTGTGACACACCCTGATCTTCAAGGCAGAAGCTGCTGGGCATGGACATGAACTAGAATGACTAAGGCTCATAGAATTACAGTTCTTGGGGGTTATTCCACCACAAGATCCTTCTTAGATCAGTGGGTTAAATACTGGTCATCCCTGTCACAGGGAAGGGAGGGATACAGGGCAGAGGAAAAGGGCAGCAGGGACATCTGTAATTGGTCAGAGCAGGACAGCACAGCTTGGAAGCAAGTTCTGTGTTACAGGGCTGCTCAGTGTCTTCCTGCACATGAGGCTTGTCTACTTGAGTGTAACCAGATCACCATGCTGACATTTGATGTCCATGGGTGGTACATGGCACTGGAGTGTTTAAGTCTTAAGAATCAGTGTCGTCATCATCAGTACAGCATTGCAAATCAAACCTACACTTTCTATGGACACTTGGAAGGGTCATCCAACTGTTTTTCAAGTCAGATAGGTCATACAAGGCATGTTTGAGAGCATCATCACAAGTGTGACACTGCTCTCTGCACACAGGGAAGAGCTGAGACCAAACAGGGCAAACCAGCAGAGGGGCAAAACTGATTAGTCAGTAGGGTTGAAGGAAATTGTTTAGATGTGACCCCATTGTTTTGCCAGTCCTTTGGTAGCTACTCATTTAAGTAACTCAGCAACTGCTTATTAAAACAGGGGATAAGGAAAAGACGAGATTAGTAGTAGGAGAACCATATCTTTGGAAACACAGAAGGTCAAGAAAGGAGGAGGAAGCAGGTGGCATGGCTGAAACCCAGAAGGCTGGGGAGGTCAAGATGGCTTCAGAGCTCACGTACTAGAACGCCCAGCCATAGTCCCAGGAGTGCGGTCTCCAGTCCTCTGGTCCCAGATTAACAGTTGCCTGGAAGACTTGACTGTACATCATGTGGGCCACCATCCCAAGGAGACCTGGACACAAAAAGCAAAGCAAATAAGTTACAGCAGGAGCCAGAGCAGCATACTTCAGCCTTGTGTGGAAGAGGAGGCTCTCCTGCTTCTGTGATTCCAAGCCTACAGTAATAAGCTTACCTGACAGCACCGAGGAGACAGCAGCAAAGGCATTGAGCTTCATCCCACAGACAGGATTGCCAGTATGCAGCATTTCCACTGTCAGGAGGATGAAGCTGATGAGCAGCAAGCTGATGTACAGCATCTCTGATCCCAGCGACAGCCACAGGATTCCTGCCAGGAATACAGGATGAAACCATGTTCAAGAGAAAGTACCCCCCTTTCCCAACTCAATCCTTAAAGGATGTACTTTGGGAAGAAGGGAACAAAGACAAACAATAAAGACCCAAAAGCAATTGCCCCAACCTGTGAGTGAGGACTCAAAGAATGCTGAATGGAATAGTATCTGTCACAGAAGATGGCTTGGCTAGTCTAGCATGGCAAAGCTGAAAAGAACTAAAATGCCATCTGTGAACAAGTCAACATTATTCATAAACAGCAAGGAGGAAAACAGGGGGGAAAAGACAGGGGAAGCTGTTGAGTATTAGCATAAAACCTAGTGATCATACACTGGCCACAAACACATCTGAGCTCTAATCACAGCAATGTAAGCAAACAATTTTTAACCTGGGACTCAACTAGTTAAGAACTATATGGTGCATCCACAGCTTTGTCAGGACCTGGCCTCTGGAATTCAGGAAACCCCTTGCAAGCCAAATCCCCAATTAAAATGAAACACATTCTTTGGGGTTGATAGCCAGCTAGGGCAGTAACATTCACCACTCACCCTGCTTCTTGAACAGAGTGCAGGTACTTTCATGCTGGGATTTTGAGTGGGATTTAAGTGATACCACAGTGCACAGCTGAGCTCAGTTCTACAGCTGTGCAGTAGAACTTGGAGGGGAATGAGAAAAGGCATTCTGTAATGTAGGGCTGTGGAAAAGCACAGGATTCACTGAGGAAGAAACATTAATCTGACAAATGAAGCAGCACTGTGAACACTACTGTTAGCAACTATTAATGGCTGTAGAGGAGACATTTAGCTGGGGAAAAGGAGTGTGAAGAAAACCCTCATTAATGTGGCACTGACTTGAATACTCAACATCATTAGTGCCATAGAGTCACCCAGCTCTTTAGCAGAAATTGATGATCTGCATTCCCTGTTTAAAGGAGCTGGCTTGCTTGCTGCAGCACCATCAGGGAGAATAGTTCATTAGAGATCAGACTGCCAAAAGTATTCTAAAGGTTTCAGGCACCACACATGCACAGAGACCTCTGCATCTGGCCTTTCGTTGTGAGGCCAGGCTCTCCACAGATGCTTTGTAATTTGGTCTTGTAATGTTGATTATGATTTGTGGAGGTGCTTTGCACGCACTCAGCTTGGCCAGCCAAGCCCAGCCCACAATCAGCAGTCACACCACCTTCTCCAGTGCTGACCCAGCTATACAATGGCAGCTGCACTGGTCATCTTAAGATGATACTACGTGAAATTATGATGATAATACATTCTTACAATTCCTCAGCATTTGTTCCAGCCGTTGCTCTCATGGCTTGAACACTGACACCGGCTCTGCACCCCAGACCTTTCCCTTCATATACAAACATCCTCTGAAATGACTTGCCTTCAGCCTCCATCTCAGGGAATAGTTAGCAAGCCCACACCAGTTGAAAAGCTTTCATTAAAATCTCCATAGCATATGTATACATACATTGAAGTATACTGAGGTCATCCACAGGATAATTCGAAACATGTGACAGTGACAGGAGGGATGATCTCTCCTACCTAAATGATGTTTTGTATTTGATGAGGCAAGGACTTTACCCTAAAAGGGTAACTTTCAGGTGTCCTGTTCACTTACCACAAAGTAAGAGATGATTCAGCTTCTAGACTCACCACACTAGACTTCACCCAAACTGAAGCACTGAGTTAACACGCAGCCTATGTGGGAGGGACTGCCCTCAGGTAGCATCCACCTCTTTCCCCGGACTACAGCAAGATGACAAGCTCTGACTGGGAAAGTTACTAGATGAGAAAAATCCCACTTCATATGGGAGGGGGTCTGAGGTTTCCAGCACTGATTTCACAAATGGCGATTGTTTACGCAGATATCTGGGTCAAAATCTTTGCTCTTTTAGCAACCATGAGGCCAGGATTTCATGCCTGGCTCTTTGGGAATCTGCTGTCCTCACACAGGCAAAATGTTGTGGGTCCCCCGTCTCAAGTAGACACACTGGGCAGCTACAGTGAGATATGGGGATTTGCTCTTACCTCTCTCTGCTGGTGGTGAAAGCTCAATAAAGCTGCGGCATTTCTCTTCTGAAACACAAAATCAAAGCAATTAGTTTACAAAACAATGCAGGGCACATAAGGGAAAAAAAAAATATCTTCATCTCACTTTCTTTTCAGTGCATAGATCCAGTCATCCCTGAGTCCAGCCATCAGATCTTCTCACCTCTGGTGAGAAGACTTTCACAGAGGCAAAGTAGGGAAAGGCAAAGTCTGCCTGGAAAACTAGAAATTGCCTTTCCAGAAAAAAACCTTCAGCAATTCGTAAACCTTATGAGCCTCTGCTGAATATAAAAATTTTTTGCTACTCATTGACAACATTACTGATGGTCAGGTCTATTAGGAGTGTAGCTTATAACAGATTGCAGACCCACACTTCTGCTGAGGATGTGAATTCCCACTCACCCCAATCCCAGAAGAGCAGTTCTAGCACCGCTTCTCAAAGAACAAAGAAAAAAAAAACAAAAACAAAAACCAAGCTTCCCACATAAAATACTTCATGACAGAGATATAAGTCCCTCTTCTGTGGCAGAGATCATACAGAAATATGATCCTCTGTCCTCACATATTAGGCATGCTATTTCGACAAATTGTGTTCATATTTGCTTTGTTTTTTATGTTGGCCAGGCACAAACTACTGTCTTGGCTGAGGGTCCATCATTATTATCTGTAAGTTTCTCTTCCTGCATACTGCATTACTGCATTTGAGGGTCCTCTCCTCTACTTGGCACAATATTTTCTCCCAGACATTTCCGCTTCATGTAAGAATCTCATTTTCCTAATTTCTATCCCCAGTTCTAATCTTTCCAAATCTCCTGTGTTACTTCTGTCATCCACAGCTCTCAGGATGCTACCCAGTTTAGTGCCATCTGCAGTTCTCATTAACTTGCAGTTTGCTACTTCACCTAGAACTTTAATGAGGATATTCAGTAATGGCTCATCTAAACTGATCCTGAGATTAGCCTCAATAATTAAATCCTTTCTGCAGCTCGGCTCAAACTCCTTTTGTTCTTAGTAGCCCCTTTTATATTGTTGTTGTTGTCTATGCACTTGCTTCAAAGATGTGCCATAGTGGTTGGGTTGTACTTGATTTACAGGAAGCAGGAGGCTGAGACTGACTGTGCTCTACCCCATGCTCTACCCCATGCTCTGCTGTGATCCAGATGTAACATGCTCTCTGTGTTCCTTCAGGCATTGGGGTTATCCCAGGACTGCCCAGTGGCCAGATAAGTCTTTTAGAGAAATCAGTCAAGGGATGTACTTCCATTCCCACGAGCACCATGGAAACGCACCTCAACCCAAACACCCAAACCAGTCCCAAATAAACACATCTCCTTCTGCAGCCTGTCTAGAAACCCTCACAACAATTAGCAGCCTGCCCGTTAGGACACGAGAGTTTCAAGCACATTCCCTTCTGCTCCAACCCCCGCTTCTGTCTGCTTTTATTCACCAGTTATTTATTTTCAAACTCTGACAGCAACAGATAAGAAAATTAGAAATGTTCTACTGGAACTGTGGCTTGCTTAAAGAAGATGAGACGTTTGTCCTTGGAGAGAGCTGAAGAGAGGGCAGTGGGCTCAGGGGAATGGGCCTGATGAAAGTGACTTTCATCACTATATCCTTAGATGCATATCTCTCCACTGGCCACCTTCTGGGTCAGTTCCAATCCTTGATGTGTGTGCCAGGCTGTAAAGAGCATCTGTGCACTGCAGAGCATCCACCTGTAAGGGTGTAGCACAGGTTCCAGCAGAAGGACTTCAGTAGATCTGGACAGGAACAAGTCAAGGGTGAAGGGAAGCACTAAAGGGTTCTCGTACAGGTTGCACAACCAGTCCTTGGCACTTCAGGATTTACAGTGCCAGTCCCAGGTGGTGAAAAATCACAAATGAAACCTGTCACAACATCACAAGAACATCTAAAACCAACTAGAATATTGCTGCTCTAATCCTCAGGTCAATTTGCCTCCTAGCTTCAGTTTCTCTGGGTTCAAATCCTCCAGGTTTTCTCTGTATCTATTAAGTAGTAATTCTCTTTCTCTCTTTCATTTTTTTTTTAAGAAAAGCCCAGTCTCTGTTTAATAAAACAAAACCTCTCTGTTTGGTGTTTTAAGGACAACACGAACTAATGCAGTCCTCATGGTGATAGCTAAAAATTGACAACTCTGCATAAAATCACTGTACTTAAATTTTTGAGAGGACATGCACAAATTTACCCCGGAGAGCATGAAGTAAGCTAGGAATGTGTAGGAATGGAAACATGGGGAAAGGGAAAGGAGGGTCACTGAAGTTCCCATCAGGATGGACAATGCCATCACAAAGTCATTGCCATCACCACCACCATTTGCATTCCACAGCCCTTGTTCCAGACTGAAGGGCACACTAGAGACAACCATTCTCCTTTTCCCTGCTCTGTGAACATTCCAGTGAAGGACAGAAATATATCAAGCACAGCAGTGCACAGGGCTTTTGCCATCTAGGAAAATGAAGAAGACTTTTCTCCCAAGTGTTGTCAGCCTGCCACCTCTCAGTTTCAAGTTCCTGTGGAATAAATACAAGGGAATAAATTGTGGTTGCCTGAGCAAGACACTACCTGGCCCTTCCATGCTCTCTTCACAGGAAAGCCACATCCCTGTGTGGAAGTATCTGAAGGCAAAACGGTCATCTCCAGTCTCCCAGCTGTAGTGCACCACATCCTCAGATGAAACATTGCTCGTATCTGCATCAGATGGCATGGGGACACCGATGCACTGGGTGGCTTTGCTCTTCCCACACAAAGGTTTGGGCACTTTCTGGGTCCCGGTGCACCAGTAGCTGCCAAGCAAGGCAGTGGTAGAGAGGGTGAGAGCCAGCAGGTTCAGGATGACAGCCAGGAAAGTACGGTGCAATGGCAATCGCTTCAGCAGCTCCATCTACAACACACAAATGGGAGGGACCGTCACACCAACCACTTGTCCCACCTAGCCTTACAAGTCCCAGCTTTTCCCAGCATGCATCTGTGGGGAGGGGTTATGAGGACTCTGTCCTCCTCACAACATCCCAACAGCTCACTCATCATGGCAGAACCATTTCTTGAAAGCCAGGGCAGTGGATCAATATGTAAGGTTTGACCATTTCAAAGTATGCTGAATATCTGTACTGGGTAAGAGAGGGTCATCCAGCAAACATAGCAGCGCTGAGTGCATTGAGGTATCTGAGGTATCTGAGCACATGAGCAAAATGAAAAAACATCATGTTTACTCCATCTCAGAGATGATAGAAAAAAACTGTTAACCAGCTTCCTCAAACACCATGAGTTGCTCTGTCCAGCTAAATGAGAAATCTTGCTGCCAAGTGTCCCAAAACACTTCTTCAAGCAGTTAATTACTGACCCTATGGAAGTAGAGAGTATAGTCATTTCACAGTGGGGAAAGGCAGGAAAATGTTCCCATATTGCTGAGGGTCGTAGGACACACATGAAAGCAGTGGCCTGTTCAGAGGAGACACCCAGCTATCCAGACCTGGCAGCTTGAGTTCAAACCCCAGAGCAGCACCTCCCACCTGAGCCCTGACTGGCACATCAGAAATCTGGTAGGGTGGTGGGATGGCAGCATCTCTGCTCTCACACAAAGCGCCAAAGGTTGGGGATTTTTTATAAGAGCAACCATTATCACAAACATTCTTCCCAGTTTCATCTCATCATTAAAAGTAATTCAGAATGCAGTTTGGGAACCAGGGTCATGTGGACTTTCCCATTCAGAGGAAAGCTTAAGACCTTAGGATTCTTGCAAAACCCTTCACTGACTTCTAAGAACCCCAACCTATCACTCCATAGATTGATTAGGTATCATCTACCTACACATCAACTTTCATGTAATCAACGCATGTCTCTTCCCACGTGGTACTCCCTATGTTTGGCACAGCTTCATCCAGATACTCCCACTCTTTCCTATTTATGACTCAAAATCTATTTGTCCACGAATAGATTCAGTTTGTACAGACACTGCCTGCTGCTGGTCCTCTTCACTTAACTCTGGCTGACTCACCCAACGTCGAAGGTGTGAGAAAGACCCAGCATTCTGCGGACACCACTATAAATAAACGACACAAGAGCAAGCTTTGCATTGTTTGTGACTGCACCACAGCCAAAAGTGGTGCAGTTAGAACCGTATTTTCTGCTAACCAGCAAGCTTGGAAATGTGGTCAATAAAGATGGTGCTGAAGCTCCTCTTGAAAAGCAGGACTTCATTAGCATGTCATCACACTGAGAAAGCAGTACCTGACCCAGAACAGCCTCACTGAAAGCAAGAAAATACTCAGCTCCTGGAAATTTCCTGTGTTGTTTTATGCTCTGGCTTCTTTTGTCTCTTCACCAGGGCATTTCGTTCTTGCAGCAATGGAAAAGCTGCACCCTGGAGATGGTAACATCTCAGTGATTCCATAGCTAATGACTTCTGTGATCTGAAAGCATGTTGGATATCACCATTTTTGCAGAGCAGCTACCTACTAGGACCAGTTTTTGGCTAAGGTTCATGGCACATTTCTCACTGAAAGTTTTTTTCAGTGGAAAATTTGGCTTATGACTGAAAAGGAAATTATAGATAAAATTGTTCTCCTCAAAAACATGATTTTCCCCCTGAAAATAGAAACCTTCAGCACACAAAGTTTTTCAGATTTTCATCAATGCTTGATTATAAGAATTTCTGTCATGAGGTTTTGCGCTGTTTATGCTTTTATTTTAAAAAAAATCCACTCACAATATTGACAAAAATTATCTTTCTAATTTAAATCGTCAATAGTGGAAAAAATGTTCTCTCCAGTTGACTTGTGACAGTAGTTAAAGGCCATATAATTTCAAGAAAAGTGTTAAGGAAAAGAAAAAAAAATACAAGAAACAAATAAGTCAGAAGAAGGAAGTGGATCAAGAATGCAGAGGACATAGGGAATGAGAAGCAAATCTGAAAACATTGTCAGAAAGCTTCCCTCCACAAAAGCTAAGCACTCACTGACAATAACTGACTATTAATATCTAGATAGCCCCAAAAGGAAATAGAGCTGAATTTACCTTAGCAGCAAGTCTTCAAAGTCCTGTTAATTTGATGATGAGCGGTATAGAAATGGGACTCACGCCTTGTCTGCTGTTTTGCTCATCTCTACATCCTCCAAGAAACCCAATTGCTGCAAAACCCCTTTCTCTTTTGTCTTGTCCCCTCCTCCCTTGCCTCCTCAGTGATTATTAAATGCTATCCCTCTGATCAGCAGCTGTTTTGTGGAAAATGGTCATTTTGTAATCCACAATGCAATCACAGCACAGCTGTTCTGGGAGATTATATGGGAGGCGATTGATGCTGTGGGTTGGGATTAAGTGGAGAACAGTGACCCGCACTGACTGAGTAGAAAGTTTCTTTAAAACACAGAAATATTCCAGACATCCCCATGCGGTGGCTGTTTGGGAGCTTGTATGGAGTGAGCTGGCAGATCTTTGGATTCAGGGAATAAGTGACCTTGGTTTGGAAACCCACAGCAGCCTTGTCATCAGGTCACTCCTGTCTCAGAAGAATGGCAAAGTCTACAAGCCTCCCAGCCCTGGGATATCTTTCTGGCCAGACCTGGCAGTTGCAGAAAGGGGAGAAGATAAAAATGAAGGAGAAGGAAGTTTATGCAATTCCATCTGCTCTGAGGACTGAGGATTTCAGTCACTGAAGAAATGCCAATGCAGCTCTCCCCATAGGCACTGGAAATTCTGATGCCAAAAGGAGCCCCTTAGCAGAAGAGCTGCTGAGTGGCAGACTGGCACCATGGCTTCACCACCACGACGGTGTTGTGAAACAGTGACAAGTCAAGTCCAGTACTCAAAGGATGGGAGAATGAGGTAGACTGACTGTGTCCCTTGTAGTCGCAGTTTTACCAAAATGTGAAGTTCACCGGGAATCCTAGCTCCCAGTAGGTTAACACTGGATGAATTTGGGAACCTAATAAGGAGAGACAGAGATTCACACTCATCCAAAGTCCCCTCTGAGCTCTTGTCCTGAAAGTTTAAAGGCTCCCACAGTATCTGAAGGTGTTGATACCTCTTGTTTGGTATCAAAACTGTGAAAAGTAAAAATGACATCGCCTCTCACGAGAATGCACTGTCACTAGAGGGCATGGAGCAGAGCTGCATTGAATCAAACTGCAAGGGAGAGGAGCATCCCAAAGGTACACATCCTGTCTTCCCCACAAAGGCTTTGCCCAGTGCTAAGTGGGTGAGACTACCACCATCACTGGGAGGGAGCAAGGCAGATTCCCTGCATGCCTGCCATGGTGCTCTGCTGGGACAGAGGAAACCAGTGGTCCATCTGCTCTCATCGCCCCACTTCCAACACCAGAGCTCAGAGGCTGGAGGCAAGTGTAGGAATAGTTCTGGGTGACAGCACAGTCTGTGACAGCCCCATACAGCATAAACAGCAGACAGAGTCCACATGTTCATGGTCCAGTATGTGGGCTGTGCTATCCCAGGCTCCTGACCCTTCCTGCCCTGAGCAGAGCAGGCAGTAGCTCTGTGGTTAGTGTAATCCCAGTCACTGCATAAACTCCTCTAATTCAGATAATCATTTTTAAGACGGACTAACTGAAAGCAATGCTAAATGTCTCTGTGCTCCGTGGACTGCCTGCAGGTTTTTGATTAATAAAAGGTTCTGTTGAAACAGATGTACTTAGTTTATTGAAGTAGGTAGGATAACAGCTGATGCTATTTAAAAGGAGAGTGCATTTTTTTTCTTTAATTGTTCAGTCTGCATCTGGGCACCCTAAGTTTGACTTCTAAATGCTTAGTAAAAAAAAAGGCTGGTTTACAGGCTCAAGAATAAATAAAGTCCATCTCTCTACTGATAATCCTTAATGTTAACACCTTTGTAATTTTAAGCTTGATGAGGATATCATTATAACCCAGGAGTCTATGTCAGTTTCTAAAGCTGGGATCATATCATATATATTGATGAAATGAGACTGAGTTAGTTTTATATGGATAAGAATTCAGGCAGGTAAATAAATTTATCGGAAATATACTATGGTTTCAAAATATGCATATAGCAGATTTACTATTCTGAATAATGGCAGATATTTATCCTTCCAGAAGATGGCAGTCTTTCTCTGGTCTTCTTTTTGTCAGTCTCTACTGCTTGTGTGTGTAATGGGGGGAAGCAACACCAAAGTTTAGACTTCTATTCCTTCCCTTGAAATTTCCCCCCCACCTTTTTTTTTACATTTTTATAAACACAAACTCGTTACCTTGACTGTGATATGGGAGGTAGGTCCTTCTCTTGGAGTTATCTGAGCCTGAGAACACTTGAAATCACTGAGGAAAGCAAAAAAAGATGAATGAATGCAAGAGCTTAACAGGTCATTTGCTCCACCTTCTGCCCTGCACGGAACTATTCTTTCTAATACTTTTCCCAATATTTTGTCAAGTACCATATTAACTTTCCCCAGATCATTGCACACAGCTCATAGAACACCAACACCAGAACATATTTCCTAATGTTCAACAATCTTCCTTTAGCAAACTTCCCTTAGCAAAATTATGGGGGGTTTGTTTGGGTTTGGTCTGCATTTTGGTTGATTCTTTCTAAAATGTCTACTCAAACCTCACTCTAATCTGACCACTTGTGGAAAGAAAATCAAGCTGTATCTGTCTTTCACCCTACTGTGTGCGTTACAGTTTTCTCATCTTTGTATCTGATATTTTCCACCATAACTTGGCTTGGCTAGAGTTTTTGGATGTCTCTTTCTCTTTGAACTCAGCAGCAGCCAGTCCCTGGTGACTTGTTTAAAATTCGCCCATTGAAGTGAATGCCCATAGCAGTTGACTTCCTGTGCAATCAGCCAAGCCCTCGGCTTATAGAAACAAAATAAGGAAACAAAATGCAGAGCATAAGCTTAGCACAGCACTTCTGTGGCGATTGCCAACTCTAAAAAAGCCCAGGCACTTACAAGTGATGCATTTTTATCCTGGCTCTATCACTATCTACACCCTGGCTTTGGGTGTATCCTGTCCCAAAGCAATACACTCATCTCCCAGGGATGTTGGTGGAAAAGAAGGGCAAGAAGACCTTACCAGATAAGACCCAAAAGTTGCAATACTTAACTGGCAGGTC